CCACTTCCGTGGTCACCAGGGCGAAGCCAGAGTGGAAACAAAAGCTAGCTAAATTTGGCCAAATTCTAGAATAGATCCTGGTAATTTTGTCTAACACAAAACGGGGAAATTATCTGCCTTTATTCCGACGAAGTGGATCATCATCGTGAGAGTGATTAATACAAGTTCTCAAATGATCCCATGGAAAAGACTATTTTCATCCACAACTGGCTTTGAGAACAGCATCATAGTTCAGATTTTATTATTGGTATGTCTGAACCGACTAGAAAATGACACTATTGGCCGTTACACCCAGCACACGAGAACACATTCGAATAGCAAACCATCCAAATCCAACGCGAGAGTGATTTGAGTGAGCAGAATAATCTTCACTTGACATGTGTACATAACACGTTAAAATATCATGTGAAATGATCCAAGTCATTAGAGTGAAGGTTGATTCGGTCGAAGAGAAACTGAAGAGTAGAAGAAATGCTGAGAAATGCCCAATTCGAGGAAAATCAAGGTACACCGGAAAACAGATGGACGACACAGTAGTGCACATGTCCGAGCGCCATTTACCCTTAAGTACAGCTGAGGCACGTCCGTTGTGGGACTATCATGTAAGCCAAATAGTCCCTTATTCGTGACACATGATAGACAACCAAAGAAAACTATGGAATCGACATGCACGGATGTGAAGGATGGAATAAAATGATTCACGTTTTCGGTTTTGCACGATTCTCCATCAGAGTGAGTCGCTGTTCCAGGATAGAGACAGTCTAAAAACAGGGGGAAAAACATACAAGAGATCCCGCTGTGAGTAATGAATTTCACAGCTCGTTAGATAATAGAAACGTCACATCGACAACTGAGTGATTGAGTTTACCTATATTATTCGCAAAACAATCTATCTCGTTTACTTCGTTGGTCCATCACCATCACGATAATCGTACAGCGAAATACACAGAAGCGACCTTCACTGGTCGCTGCCAAACTCCCAATGCATATGCGCTGGGGTTTGACGGACGGGTACTGCTAAAGTGTCCAGCCACCATTTGTTTGGCCCATTCGATTTCACAGGCATAGTGTTTGATTTTCGTCGGTTTTAAACGTGATTTAAATTTCCCTCTGGTCAGAGAGCGGAAAATAGAAGTACAATGGGCCGCGGTGATGCGTGGATGAAGCCTTAGCAACGGACTTTGAGTAAACAAAAATTCGTTTGGAGATACCAAAATATTACGACTACTGCACAACAACTTGATGACTGAAAAGTTTAGAATCCGATAGATTACGTTAGCAAATACGGTTTGATTATCAACACGTACACTGCTATTTGTTAGCTACGAACCACACCACATTGCACAAGATCATCCGACTGCTTTATTGAAGAACCGTTAAGACTGAGCGGCAGCAAAATATCCACTCAGTGGTTCATATGGGAAACAATGATACCTTACCACAAAAAGCGATTAAGGATAATTCGTTGGAACAGGGAGGAGAGAAACATTGCAAGATGTTAACATGTCTTTTGATCGCCTTAGTCGCTTCAACGTAAAACAACCAGGTATTTATACTTTAAAGTTCTGACAACTACAGTGGTTACACGATTAACAGTCAGGAGAGAGGAATCAGAATCAGCGCCATGGTAATTCGACTGATTGCGTCATGAACTTTTGTGCGCACAAAATTGTACTACGTAACTTGATTAAAATCACTTCGCTGAAGGCTAAGAGCCTTGAATTCATGTTACGTAACAATGATAACGACAAAAGTTATTCAACGATGTGTCTAGTTGTCATGAGATGTTTCGCGATTGATGACACTGAATTTTTCTCCCAAACTTGATCTGAGATTTTGTTGCGTCATTGATTCCCTCTCCCCTGGCTGTTATCCACTTAACCATTGCGGTTATCACAACTTCCTTTTATAAATACCAGACTGTTCTACGTTGTAACGACTGAGAAAATTTAAACAAATGTTAACATCTCACAGTATTTGTCTTTTCTCTGTTCTAACAAACTGGATAAAGAGGACCCAATGTTTCAAGGATATGCCAGGTTGAGGAGATTCAATACAATCAAAGATCAATGAAATAACAGCGATTCTCAGGATGCTTACCTGTGTAAGAATATCCAACTGTGAAAGGATGTGTTCCAATGTGGTCGTTAAAGGAGGAGGAATGTTCTGGCGATCGTTCGACATTTGCTCAGATATATTAGCCGTCTGTAAACGAAAGAACACAGCATAAGAAACCTGTTTCGTCACTCAACTGCTACCTAATTTTATCATAGATCACTGATCCCAAAACGGAGCGGATTGGTAAACTGTTACCAGGGCTCAATCTCCTGATTCCAGAACGTCTCATTGTCACCAGTGTTGAAGTCAGAGCACAGATATACATGCGCGTGTACAGATCGAAGAGACTGCATACGCGTGTGCTTCTGTACCAAATCCAGGTTCAAGGAACAGAACAGTCCATGATAGTGATCTGTAATGTTTAACTGCCGATGGTATCTGCAGTAGTTTAACTGGGATTTCCACTAGGATCTTTTGAGAATCAATTGTCGATGACTTGGGAGATACTGAAGCACAAGTATACATACAACTAACAGTGTTCGTCAAACTGTCATTCCCGTTCAAATTCATCATAGACGAAACATTGGTCTACGAAACGTTGTCATGGAGTAGCCGGATGGAGAAAAACTGAGTGATCTAGATTGTACTGACGAAGTCGATGGATTTTTCAAGTGTACGTAGGATGTTCAAAGGACACCTAACAGACTTCAAGCTGAGACTCTTTTCGGTATGTGGTTTGCATCTGTTGTCGCAATCTCACGCTTGATGGTCTGGAAGCAATTAGTCTATTGCCTATACTACCTTCACTCAGGTTTGCGCATGAAGTACATCCATCATCTAGAGGTCTTTAACTATAATAGGCAGTAGGTACGTTTGCAATGCTTAGCTAAGGTCAGAACTGATGCTCCGGACAAGTAAGATCTAAGCGGTCATAATGAAGTAGTTAACGAAAACAATTTGATTGCTGACATAAATTCATCCAGTAGAGAAGATTGCCCATCAATTAATCTTTTGACAATTCAACCTTGTGCTTGTGATCACTGATTATCATCGGCTTTAATCGAACTTCATTTTCTCGCACTATCTACCACCGAAGTTGTCCGCTGAATCCCATTTCTCTGTGGCTAGTTTTAAATTATATTAATAAAACTGTTTAAAACGTAGCTTTGCTTCGATTATGTATCATACCTAACTTACAGATATTATGAGGACTTTCAAATAATCTTGTTTTTTTACTATTGTCCGTCCCAGTGTGGACTGGTTCTGCCGTCATCACTTGATAACAGGATGGAGAACACTTGATCATATCTGATACTAAATGATTTCGGCCATGCATTGCATTAGTGTGCAAAGAACGGATCAAGCCTGACTTCTTCAGTTTTTTTTCGGTAGGCATATAGTCTACTTGAGAAAGCTGCCACTTACTGAAGCTAAAGCTGTGGCCAACATACCAATCTTTGGCTACAGTATAGGACAACGTCCAACAATGCATCATTGAACTTTGAGACAATATGAGTCACAATGGGCAGAAGTTGAATTGCTACTTCATCCCGGTCTTTTTTAATGGTTTTAGACAACTAATGCCACATTAATGAATATCTTATTCTCAAGCACCTCATTCCTTGTCTCTTAATTATATTTTGGTCTTCAAGTTGTGACTGTCAGTCCCGAACAGAAAAAGATAGTGGATCATCACGGTGTCAGTTAAATCTTAAATATTGCGCATCACTAGCCTTATTCATTTATTAACCACCGACGAATTCCGTACTGATTGTTGGGCATGGAGACATACCAAAGCTCGATAAAGGAAAATACTTCTAGAACAGATTGGAACAGAGGAAAAAGAATATAAAAGCCATGACTCACGTTTTCTGGCACGTTACCGGTGGATGATAGCGGCAAGAAACTGGGTGCCGAAACGCCGGTCACCCGCGGTGGTTGATGATGGCACTGGACGGAGGCTGTTGCAGGGACATCTGCACCAACCTGAGCAGAGCGCTGATCTCCAGCACTCCCTGGATGTTGAAAATTATTCAGAGATCCGTCCGTGCAATCCACCAGGGCGGATGGTTCGACTACCAGGCTTGCTTTTTTGGACAAACGCGAAGACCCCAAACGACGTGAACAATCCTCACTGGCACGATGTCCATTAGCGCGCGAAGTGGAATCTTTTGCAGTGGCATCATCCGAGCAAACGTCAAAATTGGTTCGCCACAAAAACACCTGTCACAAGAAGTGATGGACACGGAAATGCGAAGTATGTGCGTAAAACCTATGAAGAACATCCGATTTCGCATTTCACTCTCATATGAAATCTTTAAGCTGAGTGTACTTACGTAGATGTAACGATATCATTTGTAGGTTTAATGCTCTGCTGTGAAGCCATATGAAGCTAACCACTACGAAGGAAAACGAGTCAAATATAGTTCGTGACATATATATATATATTCTACGAAGACCATCAGGTCACGTTTGTTCCGGTTAGTAGCATATAACCCACTTACAAAACATCGAATCATAGCATTGATTTTTCTTTGGACTGGCTCGGAAAAAGCTGTCTAGCCAGTGGTCACCCGGTATTTCAAACAAGATTATTGTGATGAAAATACACTTCTTGGGCACAAGTATATGAATGAACTGAAAAAAGATTACCGGATAATTATGCCTGACGAGCGGCAAGAACAGCGAAACCAGTCGGGTGCTTCCAGGGAAATTTTGTCCAGCCTTTCATATACTACTTATTATCAAATATATATATATATATATGTGTGTGTGTGTGTGTGTGTGTGTGTGTGTGAATAACTGGACAAAATTTCTGCATCATCATCATCGTACAGCGAAATACAGTGAGGTGAACTTCACTGATCGCTGCCAAATTCGCAATGCACACATGATTAGTGGTAAAATTTAAGGTGGACAGGGATTGGACCTACTTTGAAGGCGGGAGAAGGTGAACCAGTATGATCAACACACAGAGTGCACAATCGAACTCTGCATACATACCGTTTCAAGCGTTCTGGCCTGATAAGAAATGACAAGAACGCCACTGCTGTCAGTTCGCTGCCATATCCTTCAATGTCTCCAACCAACCAGTTGTGGAGTCTTTCGGACCCCAACCTGGAATGCGCGAGACACCCACCCTACATAATGGCTCTGTGCTTTTCTTCATGCCTCGTCTCCACGTGGTTTCCTCCAGCCCGGATTAGCTACAGTGAATAAAGCGCGATGCGGAAGACGACAGCTGGGCATGCGCAAATTTCTTCGGAAACGCTCGACCGGTTTCGCGGTTGGTACCACCCATCAGGTGTGCGTATCGCATGCTCATTGACTACTTGGTTTGGAACTATCTAAACCGACAGCGTAGAATGTACCTTACTTTTTTTACTTGTATGCGAATAACTTCTGCATGAGCTTGAATAGGTTTTACTTGTCTCTAAGGTTGGCTGCCTACAAGCGGCGTTCAGTGTCAAGATCAGCATAGAATGAAAGCCAGTTCTGATTCAAACTTAAGAAGCCATACACGGCTTTCAGACCCGGTGTGCGAAGTTTCCTTGGTTTGTGATGATCCATTTACAACTCTGAATTAACAATTATTTGAGCCAACGGGCCAGAGGCCACACAAATACATTGAGGGAGAAACAAGCACAAGAGCTTGATCGCTGGGCTGATTTATGTAACCAAACGAGTACTGACGTTCACCCAGTTAGAATAGTGCGGCTGTTTCGCCCCATGCCGGGGAGCCACAACTGACTCGTGTAACATTTGCAGACGAGAAGGACCTGGAAAAAGTTCTTCTCTCTAGTTACCTTCTCAAGAAAGATTCCGGTATATCAAGAATACTTCTCGATGGGCCCTGTACACAATATCATACCAACCCAGCAAATGCACGGCCATCGGAGAACAAACGGGTTTTCTTAATTTATGGAGTCCCTTAACTGGACGATCCAGATGAATCCCTATACCAACAAAACACTTGCAAGGAATGGATTTTCATGCAATAACTAATTAATTGTACCCAGGTTCTAACTACGGCAATTAGTCTAAGAACTAACACGGGAACGGCCTGAGGATAATGAAAGTAACCCTAGGAACGGCAGAAATGGCCAATTCTGTATCGCGGTCGTGAAAGGAGAATAGAAGGGCTCCGCCGGAATTGCGCCTAAAACCACCACATAATAATGGATCCCAGCAAAGTCCAAAAATGGAAACCGATACTAACACGCCACTTTCCTCGGCCAGTACAGCTTTTATCACTCTACATTCACCGAGCAGCAAAGAAACACAGACACGCACATTCAAAATAATGTTAGCCGACCGTAAATTGGTCGGCAGAAAGAACACCTCACACCCAGATAAATTTCTGTGCCGAAGATATCTTTCATGTTTTTCGATCAATGCATGAGGTTACAGAAATGGAACTTCGTTGATAAACTAATCGATGCGACATTGTTGCTGTTACTGAAAACTGGCTGACCACCTAGATTCTCGACTTGCCCACTGGAGCAAATGGTCCACCACCATGGATTACGTTGGTTGGGGCATGTGTTACGCATGTCACCAGATAGGTTGCCACGGCGAGTAATGTTCGCCGAGGCACGTGGTGGATGGAAGAAATCCAAGGGTGGCCAACCTAAGACCTGGAATGAGGGTATGAAAACCCTAACCAGGGGGCTAGGTCACATAGGCCCCATTAGGCTCCCTGGCCGGTTTCAGACCTGGTCGAGGCTGTGCGGTGCCGCTGTGCAGGCACAGGTTTCAGCCAGTATTGAACAAGCGCTCTGCACTTTGAAGGTGCAAAGCATATACCATACTTGGATACCTCGATTGAATAAAGCCTAACGTTTGGACCTTTCTCGTGCATGGTTCTATAACACTACAAGTTACTCGACATACAGCAATGGATGGGATATTACGTCTCGAACGGTTCGATGTTGAACCCAGCTCACCAGATGCTACCAAGCAGTGGAACCATTGGTACAGGACTTTTCTCAGCTTCCTGAAATCAGTAGACAATTTAAAACCCGACAAACTGGATATGCTGATTTCATACATACCTCCTGCTGTCTACGAACATGCCATGGAATGTGAAACCTATGAAATGGCAATGGAGACGCTTATTAACCTCTATATGCGCTCGAAAAATGAGGTCCCCGTCCGTCATATCCCCGTCACAGCCAAACAGGACAAAGGGCAATCTCTCGATCAGTTCGTTTAGAAGTTTAAAGTCCCTATCAAGAGATTGCACTTTCAGATCTACTACCCCCGAGGAAAACCGAGACGATACTCTCCGAGATGCATTTATCAATGGAATCCAATTTAACTAAATCAGACAACGTCTACAAGAAAATAGTTCGCTGAATTCTCAAAAGGCCTTCGATTAGGCGAGACCCCTTGATATGGTAGAGCACCAATCCATGTCCTACCAGAACTTTCCCACTGCATCCCACATAGCGGCTATACGCGCACCCTGATCCACTTTTCCCTCCCTCCGCGCGTCTTTAATAGTGCTCTAAAGACAGTATCGTCGCCATAGTGGCCTCGACAAACACCCTCGTTCAAAGTGTCCCGCAAGAGATAGTCCTTGTAAAGGTTGTGATAAAAAAGGGTCACTTACAAAGAGTTTGTCTCTCAAAAAGCCAACAAGGTCATGCTACATCTGCGGCTTGTCCATCCATATCGGCAACTATCGCGGCTAACTCTCTTACGTGTCTCTCAAAATCTTTCGTGGATCTCGAGGTTAATGGAGTCCCTTATCGTGTGCTGATCGACACCGGGAGCTCAGCAGGCTGTTTCCGAGAGCTTAGTACTCGCCAATAAGTGGAAGATACTCTCATCAAGAGAAACCAGCACAATGGCCTCAAGTTCCCTATCAAGCAATACAGGGGGGGGGCACGGCTTTATCTCCATCAAATACAAAAACCGTGTCTACGAACGTTATAAACTATCTATACTGAGTGATCTATGTTCGGATGTTCTCCTCGGATTTCCTCAACCTTCACAAGAGCGTTCATTTACCATTTGGCAGAGAGAAGATTCCGTTTTCGGTTTGCTCACTCAGACCTGCTTCCATAGTGTCCCAGCCACTTTTTCAAAATGTCTATACATTGTAAGCCTGTTGCCACAAAATCCCGACGATACAACAGGGAAGATTAGTCATTCATGCATTCGACTCCTGTCTAATGGTACCACTGAAGTTTCCAACTCGTCTTGGTGCGCTCAAGTGCTGGTGGTCAGTAATGAGAGCCACAAACGGAGAATGGTAGTGGACCATAGCCAAACAATCAATAAGTTCACCAGCCTGGACGCAAATCCATTTCCCAGAATCGACGATATTATAGAGAACATAGCCAAATATAGTATTTTCAGCACTCTGGACCTTGATAATGCATGCTGTCAAATCCCTATTCGGGAAGAAGAAAAATGCTTATTGCTTTTGAGGTATGTGGACGTTTATGTCAGTTTCGTCGTATTCCCTTCGGAGTTATCAACGGTGTTTCATGCTTCCAGAGGGCTATCGATGAGATAATCTCTCTTGAAAATCTGAGAGATACGTTTGTCTACGTGGATAACATTACTGTTTGTGGGAGAAACGCAATTGAGCATGACCTTAACCTCAGGGATTTCGTGAACGCTGCCAAACAATATGGTTTGAATTTTACCGACGACAAAAGCATCACAGGAGTGAAGCAAATCAAGCTGCTTGGTTTTCAGATAGCGAAAGGGAACATCAAACCGGATCCTGACTGGTTGAAGCCTCTGCAAGAAATGCCCCACCCACGAATTTGAAATCACACTGAAGGATCGTGGGTTTCTTCTCTTGCTACTCGCCATGGATTTCGAAATTTTCCGACAATCCATTCACTGGTACATAACCAAATCTTCCCGATAACTCCGCACGTAAAACAAAGCTTCCAAAGCCTCAAGCACGAACTAGCGGAACTGGCGACCATCCACTTCAATATCCCCTTTATCATAGAAACTGATGCCTCGGACGTTGAATCAGGAGGGACACCCTACCGCGTTCTTTTCTAGGACATTAACTCGAGGGATGAGACATCATTCAGAAGTTGAGAAAGAAGCGTACGCCGTTGTCAAAGACGTCCGGAAATGGAGTCACACGCTACTCGGCAATCATTTCAAACTCATCACTGATCAGCGGTCTTTCTCCTTCATTTTCGGAAACCAGCACCATGGGAGAGTCAAGAATCCTAAGCTGGAAAACG